TTCGAATTTCTTCCAATTCGGTAGCGCAAAAGCGGTTTAGGTGACACCTAACTGAGCTGCTGCAAGCTTTTCTTGCGTTTGCGTTGCGTCTCCTTCCAGTGGAGCTGGCGATTCCGCTTCTTCACACTTTTGAGGCTGATGTATGGGGTCGCGGCTGGTCGCTAATATTGAAATCACCACTTCTGAAGCGTTTGTACCAACATTCATACGTTTCATAAGACTCAACGTCAGCAGCACCAAGAACACTACAAGTTGATCCCCCCGTGCTTTACAAGCAGCATTTTTCTCCTTGATGGAATTCGTAAAAAATGCAGTGCCATCGAAAGCGCTGTTTATCGTCGTCGTAAACACTGCTGTTGTGAGAGGTTATGTAACTCACCAAGACTTATCGTTCTGAGTTCTGGAACCTTGCGTCCGACACTTTTTAAACCACAAAAGACCACGATAATATTTTTATCTTAAATATAATTTTAAGCTCGACCAAAAAATTAGTTTAAATTGTAAAGACGCACAACATAATGATCTTTATTTTTTCCGCGTAAGAGCATCATTGGTTTAATTGAATCAAGTGGAATAAGGTAGTATCACTTTTTGGCCCTCTAGCTTATAGTCTTTTGCGTTGCCTTAAATGCTTCAGAATTCGCGTTAGGGTAGAACACGCTTGCAGTTCGAGGTGCGTGGCATGCTGACGCCACATTTCCTTTTTTTAACATTTAGTTTTCGGGATCGATCTGGCCACTGGTGCTCCTGTGAGTCGGACTACGAAGTAGACACGAAGATCATAAGGTTAGTTGTGGATATTTGTTAAAAATTTTCTTGAGATGGTCGACTTCCTCTCGCCTAACAAGTTTTTTTTTATTTTCGCCCAAGTTTTGACCAAAGTCGACGCTTCAGTCCCATTGGAGCCAGCTTCCATCTAGATATCTCAAGTCCCAGTGCTGACACGCAGCCATCACTTGCCTTAAGGTGTGTTAAAAAAACCACCCTACTTTTTTTCTTTCCTACAAGACACTTTCTCGATTTACCTGAGTTCCTGGTAGCAATCTTGACATGGTTGCACGTGATTTGTATACTCTTTCACCCTGGATTAAATATTATAAATCCATTTTTTTCCCTTTTTCCTCAAAGCCGTTCAAGTTCGCCTTGTGTTCGCCGTAAAAGCGAGGACGCCTACGACGTAAACGTCCTGTAAGTTTGCTTCCGGTCCGCTTAGAAGTGATTTTGCTTTTTCAAATAAACTGGTATCATCCTGAAGGTCACCGCCCCCAAAAGGCCAGCCAATGGTCTTATTCGTGGCGTGGGTGGGATGTGATCTTGCCATGTCAACCCATCTGTTTTTCGTCATTCGCCTTTTGACCACCTGCTTCTTCTAGCATTCAATCTGTTGGTTTAAATCACTTTATTTTTTATCGCTTTGATGTTTCACAGTTAGCAAATGCGATGTGGACTCGTGTTAAATGCAGGAAGTCACAGCCCACCTGTCTTACGATGTGCTAGCAGCCAGAAATGCACTCTCGGAGAATCAATGCGCATGTTCCACCTTCCCAGTTCAGCACAAAGACACGACCCCAGTCTTGTGCGACCTTGGATCGATAAATACTGAAGGGAAATCGATATTGCAGGACTATTGAGTAGTAATCTTATGAACAGAGACGAGTGATTTGATTTCACAAATCTCAGTATTGATTAACCAAACTGTGCCAGGGAATTTAGACATCCCAAACAGTGGGTAATATTGATTTTTTGGGATGCCGACAGGGGATTATTTCAACACCGGAGAACCCAGAAAAACCGGGTTTAAGGCATCTTAACAAGACAATGCATAATAGATTTAACCAATAAAAAGCCTAAACAAGCGTAAATGCTGCTAATACAGTAGTGTCTGCCCCTACCCCTACGGTCCAATCTAGGAACGGCCAGCTCAGTTCAGAGAACTTGCGTGCGTCAGCTGAAGCTGCGGTGGCCGATCAGCTTCCACCCGGGGCTCATCCAGTGGACCTCCGCAGCTCCACACCAACGCCTCCCCCCATCCCCACCTCCCCAAGCCCTCTTCAGGCCCTCTTGACAAGTCCGTGTCCCAGCGGCGCTCCCTCGCCGACCCCGATCGATGTAGACAAACGACCAATCCCCGACTCTCCCACCGCCACCCCCTCCTCTTCCTCCCAAATCTACCTCCAGGTCCCCGCGGATGGAAGGCGGACGATTCAACTCTCGCCCACGGTGATTCTACGGCCGCAGGACTCGGAGGAGCGACCTCCGGATGTGGTACATCTGGAAGACAAGGATGAACAGTCGCTGACACCGAGACCAACAGCTGAAGGTGCGGCTCTGAAGGAGATTGCCGCTACATCGGGAGTGAAAAAAGTGGAACACGGTGAGTGAAAGAATAAGCCCTTTTGAATACCGCCAGTTCCCGTTTCACGACCACATCGTGGTTACTTAATTGGTACTTTCGATTGTTGTAATGCAATTTCATTTTGTACAAAAGGTCCACATAATTGCTCTACCCTTCCAACTTTTCAGCATTTCATGCTAGGCGATATTTTCTTACCTCAATATCTGTGCGTGTTATCGACTTGCTAGGGAAACCAAGTTTCTGAAAGTGTTCTTCGTTGTTGGAATTGGTTAGACCCTTCAAAACCACTGAGAGGGCAATAAAATTGATTTTGCACAGAAAATCTTATGTTCAAAGTAGCCCGATGTCGTCGAAGTGCTATCCCCTGATGGAAAAATTTCGTAACAGCAGATGCACTACAAACTCCCTCGGTTGCCTGGGCGTTTATTTTGCACCACTATACCCTGAATTGGCAAACAAACAATTCTTTAAAAGCTTACAAGTCACTAACCTAACTAGAGTCTCTCTCTGGTGAGAGGATGACTGATATTTTTACAGAAACTCGTCTGAATTTGCTTGTTTGTGATTCATGCACATGACAGAATGGCTAATCCAAGCGTTTACGAACCAAACACGTTGAATTAGTGTTGTTTTGTCAAAGAACCATAGTACGAACATGGCAAATATCGAGCTAGCTTTGAGCACAATCTCGGCATCCACGGAATCTCATTAAATTTGTATCAATCTCCCCTGTTGTCACGCGCAAACTGCTCCAAGCACGTTGCGTCTACTGACTCAAATTACTCACTGCAGACTTGCATCTTCTCATTATACCCTCACACATGTTGTTTAAATGAAGTGGAGTTGAGTCGTGTGGTTTTGTGTGGTTATGTTATATCCTGTCAAGCCGACTTAAGTGATTTCAGCAAACCGTGAAGGGTGAAATGTTGTGTGGTTGTCTTTTACTTGCATTTGATTTCAATCTCCGATGGTTGAGTTTGCATAACAGGCCTGTCTTTGAGCAGCGTTAAGCGAAATAGTCCTTGACTGACTTTCGATGCTTCTAGGTACCACGGAAGACACTCACCATCCTTCGAAGTCTCTAGCGAATACCCTGTCGGCGCAGTTCAAATCCACAACGAGCGCTTTATCAACAGGCTTTAAGTCCCTATTCAAGGAACCCGTGTTGTCGACCACGGCGGCACCACCAACCTCTTCAAGGGCGGCCCAGCTTCGGCGAAGTTTCTCTGCCAAATCCGCCGTCGGTTTTGCTCAGGAGGTGGACTTGACAAATCCGACGAAGTCAATCACACATGATCCCAACTTTGTAAGAATCATATCCAACTGCCTTGCTTATTATCCCAGCGTTCTTTACATCCAACTTGTGATCTCATTTTCCACGTAGGTGTCGGAAACAAATGTGGCTTCCAAAAACACCGAGGAGCTCCAGCCAACGGCAAGTCAGCCGCCTCCACTGCTGTCCGAACAGTCTACGTCTGAAGACAAGGAGTCAAGTAAAGACTACGAGGCGCAGTTGGCCGAGTACTCAAAGTTTTCGGCGTCTGTGTCACAGCTATTCGACACAACTTCGCTGGATAATATAGTCGCGGCGGTAGAGAACGAACCACAGCCTTCTCGTGAGGAACAATTAAAACAGTTGAGAATTCGTGCTGGTCTAGTCTTGTCTGACGGACCGGCCCTGCACGATTACTACACCCAGTCCTACCAATTCGCTCCAAAGACACAAAAGCCCGCCACCTTGACTGGATCTTTGCCGTCGTTGAATACGCCGAACCTTCAACAATCCCTGCCTAAAGCCAGCGTCATGTTCGGCTCCTTAATGTCAAAAGCCCACAACGCTGCATCAGACTTGTTTAAACAAGTGAACGTGGTTGCCGAAGCTGCCAAGCAGGCAGTCTCGGAGGCACATGCAATGATGGTTGACGATAAGCAGCAGCAGGAGGCAAAGGCTCCAGTTGAAAACAACAAAATCTCAACTCCAGAGGCGAACCTTCCAGAACTGACGCCTCCAGCCCCGGATGAGGTAAGCGAAGATGACATCATTACCCGGGGTGTTCTGGAACCCCCTGAATACATAAACGAGGACGAGAGAAAGGCCGCGCGTCGTGCGTGGGGTCAGTCGTCGTCGATGGATGATCAAGAGGACGATGCCAGCGTTAGCTATCTGGTGGAAGAACCCGAAGACGACGGCGACGAGGATCAAAGTGCATGGACCAAGTCGGAGGCCCGGCGCCCTCGTGGTAGAAATGAAGACGTGTTGATGCGCGGTGAGAGGGTGGATGATGTGGCCTGGCTGCGTTCACGTGATAGGGACGAACAATCTGCCATCTCTGCGCGGGATGGAATGCTCATGGCGGCTGTTACGGGTGTTCGTGATCCCCTGGTCAACGGACAGGCTTACTATGATGACGATGATGAGGAGGAAGTGGAGGAGGAGGAGGAAGAAGAAGATGATTTCGAAGAGGCATCAGAACATGGCAGACGAACAAGGTCGCACTGGCACACGGATGAGAGTGAGAACGAAATCCGGTTGCCCATTCAAAGAAGTACGCATTTTTTGTTCTCAAACCTTGGCTCCTTCACAACCAAACATGCATCGTTAAAATTAGCATAGAGAAACGAGGCATGTCAATTATTTTGGCACAGGGGAGCATTTGTACCCAAAATTTTCCCAAGGTATCTGTAGACAAGCCCACCCCAGCGGGTGTTGCAATTAGGCACGTAATTTATCATTTTTATGCTGACAAAATTCAGAAATTAGAGTTGCAGAATCTGGGGTTAGGACGATTGCCAAAACCTATGAAAATCGGAAATCAAATCACGTTCTTTGCTTCCCTGCGCGTCGTGGTCATTCACATTGAAGCAGGGAGTGACCATTCATGCTTACAGTCAGACTTTACAATGACACAAGAAATCACCAATTCATTTGACTCTTGTTGTGTCGATAGATGCAGACTTTTCACACTACCTTAAACTATAATGCTTGTTACCCGATTTCATTGTTATCAGAAACGAAAAATTTACCAATAACCAGTTATAAAAATCAATAAAAGGGATCATTTATGCTTATCCGAAAAAGGCAAGTTGCCAATAAACCATTTTTTTCTGATGGTTCAAGTAGAATCTCTCCGCAGATAGCTCAGATTTCTTTAAAATGCAATTTCTTGTAGGGCGCGATCGTTTTAACAAATTCTCCGAGGATGAGTTTCAGGATGACTATTCCGACAGGGAGGCAGTTGACGAAGGAGGGGACGAGGAATTGGACTACGTAGGCAATCAACGAGGTCGCGCAAGACGACGTCAGTTGCCTGAAAACCGGAATTCAATTAACCTGGACGAGGGAGAGAGCGACTTTGCTGGAAACCAGATAGGGTCCACAGATGACTCTGGGTGTGTGGATTGTTATTCCTTTTGAAAAACATGCAACTCACTCTAGCATGTCCGTGCAGCCCAATCTGCAATCATGGAGCAACAAGAATTTCTAGAATCTAAAATCAGTTTCCAGCAATTTTAGCGAGATGACAGTTTCCAAATCGGAAAATTAATAATTATTTTGCTTGCAGACTGAAATATAACGTTTGAGTGCACTAACCTTGACATGTGCTACACCTTTGTACCTAGTCAACTTCCACAGGTGACCTTTTTGCCACCCCTTTCGATAGAAACGAATTCATCTTGAATAGATAGTTTCCGGAGTCAAAGTAACGGTTAAAAATGTTGGTTAATTGCTCATTTGGACGTAGTTAAAAAACAAG